TTAATAAAGAATGATACTTATACAGTTTTGTAGGGATTTAAAACTTAAATTTGAGGAATCCTAATATATTTATCTATTTTACTTGGAGAGGGCGGAGGTGTCCTGGGCCAGTTTTGGCCTACTCCTATTTTAGGTAAAGAAAGGATTAAGTTTACCTTAAATGTATTTGAAGGGCCTTCCAAAGGTCAAGATTATTTCTGCCTAGAAAGAACTTTAGCCCACCCTCTATTGTGACCATGGAGATAAAGCATTGTAATTAATAGTGAGTGATCAGAGCAAAAGGGAGTGGTCGGGGGACTTTCTGGAAGATTTTATCGTACACTCAGGATGTATAAGAGAGCTGTGTAATTCTTTTATAGTAGTATATTGGGGAGTCAGAGGGGGGTCGCTTCCCAGCAAGGCTGCCACAGTTTCTGGAGCAAATAACAAACAGCCTTGCTGACATGCTAATTGACCCAAGCTTTGTTCCAAAGTGGGGGGGGGCACGCACAACAGTGGTCTTGCCAACGTGTTGATCCGACCTACTGAAAGCAGAGCTTGAAGGTGGGGGGGGTGGGGGGGGGCTCAGACAGATCCTGGGACCTTACCGGGTCAGACTCCTCCAGGCTATGTTGCTGGACTCCCACATAATTGACCATGAGTCCCAGATGCGGTGGCTCAAACTCACGCGGGCACATGCACATGCCTGCCCAAGATCTGAGAGGAGAATGGAGAAGGGATTGCGGTGTGGCCATTCTCCCTGGGACACTTTCTGTCTCTCTGTCTGTCTTTCTTTCTGGTGAGCACATATGCCCTGTAGCAAAAACCTCTCCCCCCCCCCAAAAAAAAAAATGGATATATTGAGCTGAATTACAAGTAAGTACTTCTGTATCCGAAAACATAGTAGGAGAGTGAAAAGGCAAGTACAGAGAAAAGATATTTGCAATGTGTATTTTTCACCAAAGAACTCATAGCCAGGATATCCAAACATCTACAAATCAATTAGAAAAACACAAACAGCCAAATTGAAAACTGGGCAAAAGACATTAATAAACACTGCCCAAAGAAGTACATTCAATCTGCAAAAAAAAAATGTGTGAAAAGGTGATGGACTTCATTAATCAGAGAAATGCAAATTAAAACCAAAATTAGCTATGCTGAAAGAAGCCAGACACGGAAGAGTACACACTGTATGATTCCATTTATAGGGAAGTCTAGTGACAGAAAGCAGATCAGTGGTTGCCTGGGGATGGGGATGGGGGTAGGGTTGACTGGGGTGGGACTCAGGGGAACTTTCTGCTGCTGACACACTTTCTTTGTCTTTTAAAAAAAATAATCTATTTATTCATTCATTTATCATTATTATTATTTTAAAAATTGACCAGCGAGAGACGCAGAAAGAGAGAGGGAAAGTGAGAAAGAAAGTCACCAGGTCTGGGACTCGAACCGTGTAAGCCACATGGAAGTGTCTAACACCTTAACCACCACGCCAACTCCTGGTACTCTGTTCTTTGTCTTGACTGCCTTATAATGTGGCGACACATATCAGCCATGCAGTTAAGTTTGGTTCTGTGATGCAGCGATAGTACAAGGGGCTAGATCCCATGTGGTGACCACAGTTCAAATCCCCAGCCTGCCAGAAACACCCCGGGCATGTGAATGCCAGAGATCTGACAGGAGGATAACTAAAAGGGGTCACAGTGTGAGGAGGGTGCTCACTTCTCCCTCTCTTCCTCTCCTGTGCTCATGCGTGTGCTCTATCATGAACAAAGACAAAAATTAATGTACAATTAAAGTAGGTGTTTTATTGTATGTACTCTGTGCTCCACTAAAGTTAATTAAAACACACACACACACACACACACACACAGTAACACGTCATTCCCTCCAGAACTGCTAAAATAAAAAGGATCAAGTGCTAGCAAGAATGCAGAGCAACCAGAACTCGCATATGGAGAGGTGGAAATGTAAAGGGGGACAACCACTTGGGAAAGCTCGTACAGAGCAACACACAAGCTAACCTTGGGATCCGGCAATCCCACGCCTGGGTATATGCCTGAGAGAAATGTATAGACGGGTTCACCAACAAATATCTACAAAATAATACATAGAGCTGCCAGGTCCGGGACACAAACCACCGTTGGCCATGTGGGAACCTCAGTGAGAACCTCACGCCTTTAACTACCATACCACCTGCCGGCCCCAGTACTGTTATTTTTCCCCCTTTATTTCTGGTACATCACATACACACACAGGTGAAAAGGAGACAGACAAGGACCCTCCCCAGGGTCTGGTCACACGGGCTTCCCTTTTTTTTGGAGAGGCTTTTGCTGTAGGGCGCGTGCGCTCGTGCCAAAAAGACAGAGAGACAGAGACAGAAAGTGAGAAATCAGCCCCCAAGAGGGGATGACCATGCTGCAATCCACACTTGGGATTTTGGGCACCCACACCTGGTGTGAGTGTCAAGTTGCCAGGTGGAACATGTGGGAGTCCAGCACCTTAACTACTATGCCACCTACTGGTCCCAACAATAAATATATATATGTATATTTTTTGAGAGGTTTTATTATAGGATGAATGTGCTCGCTAGAAAGGGAGAGACAGAGAGACAGAAAGTAAGAAATTACCTTCTGGGGGATGGCCACGCCGCAATCCCTTCTCCTCCATTCTCTTCTCGCAATTCTGGGCACGCACGCACACATGCCCGGCGCTGAGTTTAAGCCACCGGGTCTGGGACTCAAACCACAGTCGATTACATGAGAAAACAGTGACATAGCCATTATGCCAACTGCTAGTCATGCAATATATACATTTTTAATTATTTATTGGGGCCAGCAGATGGTGTGGTGGTTAAAGGTGCTAGATTCCCACATGGCGAACTGTAGTTTGAGTACTGGACCTGGTGGCTTGCTTTTCACTTTCTCTATCTCTGTCATTATTTATTTATTTTTACTTATTATTATTACTCCTCTAAATTTGCTATAGTTCACGTGTGCTCACCAGAAAGAGAGAGAAAGCAAACTGCCAGGTCCAGGATCAGCCATGTGGGAGTCCAACTCCTTAACCACCATGCCACTTGCTGGACCAAATTTTTTTATTTTTAAGAATGAATCTGTTAGCAATAAACACTTAACTATTCATAGATGAAATATTGCCATGTCTGGGACGTGCTTTAAAATAATTCCCTGGAGGAGGAGGCATGATTAAACATCGGCATAGGTTGATTATTGTTGAAACTGGCTAATGGATTCAGGAGGGTTCAACATTGTCTCCATTTTTGTAAATGTTTGAAATAGAAAAATTTCACCAGCAAAAAAAAAAGAAAAATTAAGATCTCTTCAATTACAGAATTTCAAGCTAGTCACTTCACCTCCCTGATTCCCGTTTTTTCCCTTCATAAAACTTGATAATAATAGTGCATTATACTCACAGGGACATTGTGAGGGGCAGTGGAAGCCGATGGTTTATGAAATTGTTTTTTATTATTACCTATTATTATGGTTATTATGTTGCCCACACTAATTGCTCCCTCCCATCAGTCTTCCCGTAATGGTTTATTCCAGCCCCCCTATGCTTCTTCCCAATGGTTCGCTCCTCCTAGTGTGCGCACCGCCCCCGGCAGCCCCAATGGTTGAGCCCGGCTTCCCCGGGGAAACCCCATGGGGCGGAGCCCGGGGCGTCTGCGAGCGGCCGCGGCCCCCTCCCCGGAGAGCACTTGGACCGCTCCGCGCCGGAGGTGGGCCAGTGACTGTGGGCAGGGCGCGAGCCTCGGGCTCCGATTGGCCAGAGCAGGAGTAAACATCCGGCGGAGTGGGGCGGGGCCGGAAGTGGGAGAAGAAGGCGGCGGCTGAGGCGGTTCGGGAGGTTCCAGAGACGGAGCCTGTGCCGCCAGGTGTCATGGGCCGGGCGGAGGCGCCCTGAAGGGACACGGGGCAGGGCCATGGCCGGGGGTCGGGCCGG